TCGGTGCCTGTCGTGGCGGTAACCCTCGAACCCGCTGGTGGACACCGGCGGTGAGGGATGCTGTCAGGCTGAAGGAGTCCTATCGGGCCTTTTTGGCCTTTGGGACTCCAAAGGCAGCCGATGGGTAGCCAGTGGGAATGGTGTGCTGTTGACCTCAACTCGTGATGTTGTGGGTCGGTGGGTACTTCGAAGACCTCCTCAATCCCACTCCCCTCCATTTAAGGGGCAGAGCCTGAGGGTCTCGAGTTGGGCTCTCAAATCTCCTGGGCTGAAGTCACCGAGGTAGTCAAAAAGATCAGTGGTGACAAGGCTCCGGGGGTGGATGAGATTCGGCCGGAGTTCCTCAAGGCTCTGGATGTTGTGGGGCTGCGTTGGCTAACGCGACTCTGCAACATCGCGTGGACATCAGGGGCAGTTCTGCTGGATTGGCAGACTGGGGTGGTGGTCCCCCTATTCAAAAAGGGGGGCCAAAGGGTGTTTTCCAACTACAGGGGGGTCACACTCTTAAGCCTCCCTGGGAAGGTCTATTCAGCGGTACGTTGGATAGTTGAATCTCGGACTCAGGAGGAACAGTGTGGTTTTTGTCCTGGCCGTGGAACACTGGACCAGTTCTATACCCTCAGCGGGATCCTGAAGGGTATAGAGTTGGACTCCGCCAAGGTTGCCCTATGTCTTCGGTTCTGTTCATTATTTTTATGGACAGGATTTGTAGGCGCAGCCGAGGTGTTGAGGGTGTCAGTCTTGGTGGCCTTAGGATCGCATCTCTGCTTTTTATGGATGATTTGGTCCTGTGGGCTTCATCAAGTCGGGACCTACAGCTCTCGCTGGAGCGGTTCGCAGCCGAGTGCGAAGCGGCTGGGATGAGGATCAGTGCCTCCAAGTCCGAGACCATGGTCTCTCACTGGAAAAGGGTAGAGTGCCTTCTCCGGGTCAGGGGGGACGTCATTCTCCAAGTGGAGAAGTTCAAGTATCTCGGGGTCTTGTTTGCGAATGGGGGTAGGGAGCGTGAGATTGATAGGCGGATCGGTGCGGCCTCTGCAGTAATGCAGCCGCTGTGATGAAGAGAGAGCTGAGCTTAAAGGCGAAGCTCTCGATGTATCAGTCGATCTACATTCCCACCCTCATCTATGGCCATGAACTTTGGGTAGCGACCGGAAGGACGAGATCCCGGATCCAAGCGGCCGAAATTAGTTTCCTCCGCTGGTAGTCTGGGCTGTCCCTTAGAGGTAGGGTGAGAAGCTCGGCCATCCGGGAGGGGCTCAGAGTAGAGCCGCTGCTCCTCCATGTGGAGAGGAGCCAGTTGAGGTGGCTCGGGCATCTGATTAGGATGCAACCTGATTGCCTCCCTGATGAGGTGTGTCCCAATGGGAGAAGGCCCAGAGGAAGACCCAGGACACGCTGGAGGGACTATGTGTCTCGGCTGGCTTGGGAACGCCTTGGGATCCCCCTGGAGGAGCTGGCAGAAGTGGCAGGGGAGAGGGAAGTCTGGGTTTCCCTGCTTCGGCTGCTGCCCCCGCGACCCAACCCGGATAAGCGGTGGAAAATGGATGGATGAATAGATGGATAGCCTGTGTATTTGTGTAATGAAAGGCAGCGTCAACAAAAGTCATTCAAACATGCAAAAAAGTTATTCTGTGTTGTTTTTTCTAAATAGTTCTGCCCAGAATATTTGAAATTACAGACTTAAAAAATGCTGCTAATATTGATTTGATTTCAAAGCCTTTTCTTCATTAGGTGAACTGTTTTAAATTGCATTCCACCTACTCATCCCATTAGAATGCTGCGATAACTTTAACCAAATAAAACAAGAATGAAGAATAAATGTGTCAACACCACTGTGGTGTAGCACAGGGCGCAGACCATATGAGACAGACTGAACAGCTTTATTAATGCACAGTACAATGTAGAATCACTTCTTCAGGTCAAGACTCCGTAGTTAATCAACATTCACAGAAAAAGGGACTGGCTATGTGGATACCCTAGAAGCCTCCTCTTTTTAAAGTTGTTTTTTCTGTTTTACATGGTTGGTTTCCTTTACTTTTCTCACCAACCATGTGTCTTCTCTGTGTGGAATGTGTACATTACTGTACCCACTATTCTTGCTGAATCTTGGTCTGGTGTCTCCTGAATCTTGTGCCATGCGCTTTAGCAGGTGTTTTATGGTCTCGCCTATACAGGGATCCTAAAACTCTTCAGTGTACTCTTGTGCATATGCAACACCATGAGCTGTCTTGGGGTCTTGTCCATGGGGAGGACTAGTCGCTGGTTGAGGATGTTCTTATGTTTGAATTACACAGGAATGCCATGTTTGGGAGAAAATCTTTGTTTCTCTCAAACGGTTTGGTTTAGATCTCCTGGGCCATTTTGCAAATGCCCAGTTGGGATTGCCACAGGTTTGAAGCTCTTTCTTTTGAGTGTTATTTCTGTTTACCCTCACCTTGGTACACTCGGTCCTGTGGTGACGAATTCTAACAACCAATTTTCATTACTAGATCTTTTATCCACCTATAGCGGATCATGTAATTCAAAAAGTAGGCACTGGCCTGTATGTGTGGGTTTTCTGTAAACCTCTGTGCTGAGGCTTCCATCCTCCTCAATGTACACAGAACAGTCCAAAAAGGGCAGTTTATTCCCTTGTATCCTCCCTTGAGAGTTTCATTTTGCTATCCAACAACTTAATGTGCTCTGTAAAAGACCTCCACTTCTTGAGTTTAGATCTTGACCTCTGTGTCGTCCTCATATCTGCACCAGTGGCTAAGTGCAGTTCCTTTGTACAAGCTTACAGTATTGCTCTCCACTGGCTCCATGTAAAGGTTTGCACAATCACGGACACTGGGTGTAATCAGTCCGCAGAAACCATCATTGTACTTAAAGTTGGTGGTGGAAAGTCAGAGGTCCAGATGGACAGAGAACTGATCATGAGAGGAAGGGGTCATGATATTCAATGAGTCGTCATTCAGCACCTGTGTCTTGATCGTATCCTCTGCTGCTGTAATCAGGATGCAAGTGAAGAGTGAAGACACATAAAAAAAAAACACAATCGTTTTACTTGGTGGCAATTTCTGATCTTGGATCTTCTTCACAAAGTCTGAAGATTTCTGTGTGTTTTGCAGAGGTTTTCCTATTGGGGATGCTAATATAAAGATAGATTTTTGGCAAAATGCACACACAAATGGAATAAAATGTGAGAAAATGTACAACCCAATGTGAGAAGTTGTATGACAAAAATCGGAACTTATCTGTTAAGACATATAATACGAGAACTTTGAAAAAAGATGTGACAGACAATGTGAGAACATGGGGAAAGAAAATTGTAAAGTGTCTGATAACCTTTAAGAAGAGAGAGAACACTGATATCATCTGAATATAGTGAAAGAGAGGCAGAGGAGACAAAGGCATGGAAGTATAAGCTTCTCATATTTCTAAAAAAAGACTACTCCCATTCAAAAGCATGACTTGTTAACTATATATGGCTATTCAATAATATCAACATAGTAGTTAATTATACAGTATTTGGGGTAGAGGGAAACAACACAGTCACATAAAAGGGGACGGAAATGGAGAAATGAATGCCAGAACCTCATTGTAAATATAGTTTTTGTTGATGGTTTTTTGGAGTTATTTTACTTATGACTGTGAATAGTGTTGACAACACCGTACTGTCCAAAAGGAAAAAGAGACGGTAGCCCTCACTTGGGTTTACAGAAAACCAGGCAGCTTGGATCTTGTCGGGTGAGTGGCTAGAAGTACTTTTCTGATGGTTCCACTGTCATAGGCCTCAGAGGTGTCTTGCCTTTGGGGTTGGAGTTTGGTTTAGTTGGGTTCAAACTTTGCAAGACGAGCTTTGCAAATTAATTAAAGTCAACAAAACGTTGGATTTTCGGTAGCGGCTTTATTTGGTGGTATTTGTGGTGAGTCTAAAACATTGGATGCAAACCTAAATACATGAAGATGAGGAAACACAACAAACATAAAGAAAGATTGATTATCTTTCTTTTACTTTGTTCTGTTTCTTCACTTTTTCAAGCCCTGTTATGAGCTTTCTTCTCAACCCTTTCATCTAGCTGGAAAGGAACCAGCCAATCACAAATATAGAAATCAAACATAAGAATAATATTGCCCAATTATAGAAATACAGAAGCTGAATGACTTATTTTTCTTGTGCATATTGCATTTCTGTAAGATATTCTTTTTTCTTTCCATTTTAAAAGTCATCAGCTCTGAATCCCTGTATGGTGGCTAAGGGAAACCCACCTTCACTTCATGCCTGAATTAGAGTGTAGGTGGTTATCTTTCTCTCAGTGCATTCACAGCCACTGCTCTTGCCTTATCAGCAGTCTGAAGCTTGCATGCTCAATCGCCTGATTTGTCAAGGGTGACTCCAAAAGATTCTGATAGGCACTCCGCAAATCACCCAGTTGATCTAAAATATCGACCGGCCACAGAAAGTCATTACACACAATAATGGCAGGCGGGTCCTTGAAGATGTGACTTAATTAGGTTTCAAATGGTTTAAAAAATGCCTTCAAATCTGTTCCCCTTGAGGATAATGTGCTCTTGGATTTTTCTCAGTGATTACAGGTGTAGAGAGTAAGGAAACTGGCCACTGACAATGCAAGCCCTGTTCCCTCCTATAAATGGCAGGAATGTGTATTATTCTCCTTCCAATTCACCATTCTGCTTTTGCAGTTTAGCATGCTCATCCAACTCAGATTATGCTCTCCTCAAACTCCACACTTACTAAAGCAGACATGAGGTTGGTGCTGCTGCATGACATTTTCACCAAAAATAATCAGAAACGAATTTATTGATAGCATTGATAGAGTTGCGTAAATTGTTAGTATATAAATAAGTTAAGTAAATGTTCTCGTTGACATTGTTTCTTTAATAAGGAAGATCCTCATAAATGACAAACCGCAATTATTAAGAACTTAGATGACCTAAATAACAAGTAAATATGCCATTAGGGTCTTGAAAATATAATATTTCTTTCTGTTCTGATGATATTCTTGGTCTCTTTGCAGAAAACTAAGATCTCTACATATGATAAGATGTGGGAGTTCATGAGCAGTCGGAGGCACTCTGTCATGGTGAAAAATGTTGAGGAAGGCATTCACCGTGTGCTCACCTCAGACTACGCGTTCCTTATGGAGTCTACCACCATTGAATTTGTAACACAGCGCAACTGCAACCTCACGCAGATCGGAGGCCTTATAGACTCCAAAGCCTATGGGGTCGGCACACCTATGGGTATGTATGCTAAAAGTTCTCATTCAGGATGTTCAAAGTTCACCGACATGAGTTTCTAAAATCAAATACAGGCAGTTGCTGTTATGCCTGACAGAGGCAATTCATTTTTCTTTAACTCCAAACTGCAAGTATATATACCTCAGGGAATGCATTAAAGTTAGTATCTATATATTTTATTGTATTTTTGATAAATCATTATTATCATTATTATTGATTCATAATATGTTCATTGAATTATTTTATTTTCTAAACCTCATCAAATTCTTCTTTTCTTATCTGTGAATCTTACCTAAGAGCGTTAGTGAACTCCAAAGATTTGAATCGTTAAAAGTATACCCTTTCTTTTAAATACACCTCACTCAGAAACATGCAATCTATTAATTTCCATTGTCCCTGAACAGAAGGTCATAGACTCATTAAAAACAAACCCATATCCAAGAATTGGCATTTTATCATTGTCATGGATGTGCTGACAACTTTTGTTGCAGTGAGGATTTTATTTTACACATTATGCTGTTTAAAGTGTTTGTTAATGAATCATGATTGACATTTTATGATATTTAATATTTCAGTATACTACAGAGATAGCTATTCAATCAGTATGTCACAGTACTAATAATCGCATATACATCATTAATATTAAGAGTTCTCATTAGAATTTTCAATTATTTTTGGTCCTGCTACTGTAATTCGGTAATTCATATATACATACATATATGAGTTTGTGTGTTCCTGTCATTTCCGTTCTTCTTGTTTATTTTTTTATTTTTTTTCGGCCTACTGGTAGGTATTCTTTCTTATTTCAATCTACATAGTGATAATGAGAATGGTAACATCAATGCCAACATTACACTGCATATGTCGGTAAAACTGTCCAGAGCATATTAAAATTGACTTTAGATTTAAACTAAATCTTTCTTAGTTTTGTCCCATATTGATATCATAAAATCTGTGTATTTGTTTTCCACACTAAATGCTGCTACATTTCAAACTAAAGCTGTTTGTCTGTTGGTGTGACATCAAATGACCAAATGGATGTGTTCCATAATTATTTTCTGTTGAGGATAGATGATATCCAGCGGTTGCTTCCAGATGAATGAGGGAAATGTCCTTGGGGACAGCGAATATTGGCAAGGTTGTTCGCTGCTGTTTGTGTGTACTTTGTTGGTCAGCCGCAGCAGGTAATGTGAGTGACTGTTTAGTTCTGTGTGAAAACAGTGGAGGTAGGCTATATTTGCTTTGGGTGATTGAATTCCTGACTGATGTGTTACTTTTGAAGCTGGTCTGCAATGTGTCCATCTCTGATGGAGTGTGTGCTGTGTGCATCTACTTGGTTCGCCTGAATGACTGAATATAGGTATGATGTGGTATAGACTGAAATATTCAATAACTTTATCTGTTTACTGTATATAATTGTGGATAATGCCATTGTTATTATACGTTTGCCACTAAAATAAAGCAATAATGTGTACCAAGTGCAAGGTAAAATTGTCTGTTCAAGAGAAAGATATTGTCATAATGATATTAATATTAAGCCATTATCTATTAGCTATTAGTTATTCTTATCCCTGTAGAATACAAAATGTAGTTCACGTTCCCACAAAGCCAGACTGATCTTGCTCTGGCTGTGTTAAAGTCACAGCATTTATTACTCTACCCCTCGACAGTTCAGCAGCTCTTTAAAAGAGATTTAGTTGAGCTCAAAGTAATTTTTCATTCCCATGGTGCATTTTAAACATTAAACTTCAACAACCTAATCCAGTGGATTCCTATGAAAGCATATAAGCAATTATCTTGTGAATAAGGACAAACATAAATTCAATTAAAATTGTTGGTCCAGCACGGTTTCCATAGAAATGATCATTAGATATATCTGTGAATTAAAAAATCCCCCCCCC